AAAGGAACATCTCACTGCTGTAGGCAATAATATGGTGGTGTGTTTGGATCAGTCTTTACTGATAGTAACGTGTGCAGCATGACTTGTACTCCCAAGGCAATGTGACATGGTGCACATAAGTTACTCGGCAAGTTGATTGGTCAAAGCCATTGATGGGTGTGGGAAGTGATAGCCTGCTGGTGTAATCTTGAATTTGACAATGCAAGCAACAAGCAGACAGTTTGTTCATGGTTGTTTCATTGACTAGAGTGTCAGTGCAAAGCTTGTATCTTTGATGTGGTCATCATCTCTTTTGATCTCATGTGAGCAAGATCCATTCCCCTTAGCTTTCTCGGTTATACAAGACATACGCAATGAGGTGACTCCAGATTGAGGCTGACAATTGGAGCTCTGTAGGCCATAACACTTCAAGTCTATGTATATGTATATGAAAATACATTTTTATGAATAAAGTATATTTTTAAAATTTAAAAGTGCAGTTTTTAAATGTGATGATGGCTTCTGTCTCTACCACACTTCTAGATCCCTGCCATCATCAATGTGGAAATAATTCTCTTCAACTTTCCTCTAATCCTTCTATAAATTACTTTAAATTCCTATGTCATGATTACTGATCTCACTGCTAATGAAAGTAAGACCTTCCTATCCACTGTATACGTGTCTCTTGCAAACTTCATAATTTTCTGTGTTTCAGTTAAAACTGCGTCCCCTCTTTGGCTGTTTTAAACAATCCCAGTCTATTGAATCCTTCCTCATACATAAAACTCTCCTGTCCGGACATTAAAACGAATTGTGCTTCTAATCTACTCTGTACCCTATCTACCATGAATAGATCATTTCTTGTAATGTGGTGAGCAGAACTATATGCAATACTTCAGCTGTAAACTAACCACTGGTTTATAAAGTTTTTGTGTAACCTCCCTGTTCTTAATTTATTTGCATCAGCATATGCCATTGCTACTTTAAAAAAATCAATAATACAGACCATTTCTTTGTTTAATTTGCCTTCATATACATGAAGAATCAAGAAGTTTTATTAGATACAGTATAACTTTCAATTTATCTAAATTATGGTTTCTGAATGTGTACATATGTTCCCTTTGATATGTCTACTAAAAGGTGAAATGAACCATAGTTTCAAGCATCAATAGGAAAATGCTAATTCTTTCAATGTGTGTTCAAACTGTAGTTAATACATAACGAATTATTATCAAGATCTACATTTTGAAAGACGTAATCACAGAATTTTCAATGCATCATTTTAGTCCAGTTACCAATTTTCCTGGAGCATCAGAAGATAGTGATTTCAACTACGTAGCTACTTACTCAATTGTCACTGCCTCATCATTGATAATCTCAGCACATAGAGAACATTTATTGTCAGGAAAACTTAGTAAATTCAGATGAATAACTGCTTGAAATGTTGAATAAGGCTCATGTCAGAAGCCATTAAAATGATGAGCTGGCCTTGCTAGATGCCTCAAGGCATGTTAAATGCTAACACTTAGTTGGCTCAGCTTGAGCCTTGTTCAGGATAGATGAAGGAGGCCCTGGGGAATGTCATAAGCAAATCACTTTTAAAGGACTTTGCTAAAGGTTAAAACATTTTTTTTTGATAGAAGCCCTACAGTGGGGAAACAGGCCTTTCAGCCCAACAAGACCACACCAACCCTCAGAGCATCCCACCCAGACCCATCCCCCTATAATCCACACAATCTAATCTACACAACCCTGAACACTACAGGCGATTTAGCATGGCCAATCCACCTAGCTTGCACATCTTTGGACTATGGAAGGAAACCGAAGCATCCAGAGGAAACCCATGCAGACACAAGGAGAATGTGCAAACTCCATACAGACAGTCACCCGAGGGTGGAATTGAACTTGAATCCCTGGCACTGTGAGGCAGCAGTGCTAACCAGTGAGTCACCCTAACCTTTAAAAAGACTGAAAATGCTTCTATCAGCATTGTAAAGCAGGGTAAAGTGAGAATTAAAGGACATTAAATGGTGTTACAGCAGTGATGTTCTCATGCCTGTTTCGCAGATACAAATGGAAACATGGAAGGATGGATGTCCCATTTGGAACTTCAGCAGCAACAAAAAAAAAGTTGCTGGAAAAGATCAGCAGGTCTGGCAGCATCTGTGAAGGAAAAAACAGAGTTAACGTTTTGGGTCCAGTGAGCTGAGCTTTTCCAGCAACTTTGTTTTTGTTCCTGATTTACAGCATCTGCAGTTCTTTCGGTTTTTATTTGGAACTTCAGCAGACCTAATCATGAAAATGATAGGGTCTATCCAATTCAATTCCTGTACAGTACCCCAACTCAACATCAGACACAGGGAAGGACAGCTTACTTTAGATAATTCAGCAATGTAAGAGCAAAGATGTAAAACTAAAAAAAAAGCTGATAACTTCTCAGGGAATACCACAGCCATTTTGGTAAGAAAAATCTGAGTCTGTAGATAAGTGATGAAGCAGTGTAGCATCCAAAGCCTTGTATCCAAAGTGCAGATGTTATTTATGAGGCAAGTGCAGTAAAACTTTGCTAAATGGCACTGTTCATCATAATGCAAGATACCTGGCATGAGGTTGTAGTTGGGCCCTGTACTTAGGAACAGATGTTAAACAAGATGATATGGATTAAGAAAGCTTCCAAGTAACGACCATTTTATCAATTCAGTTAGTCAAGGGGCTGTTTACAAAAAAAAAATCTACCAATACATTTCACATTTGTGGCTGAGTCATCCACACTCTTACATAATTCAAAATTCACTTGAATTTGGAAATAGCTCCTTTAGATTGGAAAAAGCTAATGTAACTCCTTTATTCAAAATAAGAAGGAGACTGAAAGCTGGAAACTATAGGCCTTTTTTAAAAATTCATTCCCAGGATGAGGGCATCACTGGCTAGGCAGCATTTACTGCCCATCCCTCATTGCCCAGAGGGTAGTTAAGTGTCAACCACATTGCTGTGGTTCTGGAGTCACATGTAGGCCAGATCAGGTAAGGATGGCAGTTTCCTTCCTTAAAGGACATTTGTGAAACAGATGAGCTTTTCCAACAATCAACAATGGATTCGCAGTCATCATTAGACTCTTAATTCCAGATATTTATTGAATTCAAATTCCACCATCTGCCATGGTGGGATTTGAAACCAGGTCCCCAGAATGTTAGCTGGGTCTCTGGATTATCAGTCCAGCAATAATACCACTAGGCCATTACCTCCCCAAAGGAGAGACATTTCACATAATATCTGTCATAGGGAATATGTTAGAAGCTACAGGATGTTATAGAAGGGCACTTAGATAAGTTCAAGGTAATCAGGCATAGTCAACATGTTTTTGTCAAAGGGAAATCATGTTTAACTAATTTATTAGAACTCTTTGAAGAAGTAACTTGTGCTGTAAATAAAGAAGAACCAGTGGATGTATTGTCATTAGGTTTCGAGGAGGCATTTGATAAGGTGCCATGTCAAAGTTTATTGTGGAAAATAAAAGCTCATGGTGTAGGGGATAACATATTAGTATGGATAGAAGATTGGCTAACAGGAAGCAGAGAGTATGAAGAAATGAGTATTTTTTTAGGCTGGCATGATGTCACAAGTGATGTGCCACATGGTTTGGTGCAGGAGCCTCAACTCTTTACAATTCATATAAATGATTTGGATGAAGGGACTGAAGGTATGGTAGCTAAATTTGCTATGATGCAAAAATAGGTACGAGTGAGCTGTGAAGAGGACGTAAGGAGCCTCCAAAGCGATATTCATAAGTTGTGAGTGGGCAAAATTTGGCAAAGGGAACACAATGAAGGACAGTGTGAAATCTTCAATTTTGGCAGAAAGAATTTTATAAAAGTCTAATTAGTGAGAAGTGCAGAGCTCTGAGACGCGAAGAGATCTGAGTGTCCTGGTGCATGAATAACAGAAGAATAGCATGCAGGTACGGTAAGTAATCTGAAAAGCTAACAGAATGCCATGTTTTACTGAGGAGAATCGAATGAAAGTGCACTGGTTACTGTACTTACAGAAGCTTACTAATATGTTGGAAGAAGTTCAGAAAAATCTAACTAGACTAATACCTTTAATCCTGCAGTATTTTCTCTTCACGTGTTTAGCCAGTTCCCTTTTGAAAGCAATGATTGATTCTGCCCCACCACACTTCCAGGTCACATATTACAGATTTTAACCATGTGTTGTGTAAAACAAATTGTCTGAAGTTGCTACTAGTTCTTTTACCAATCACTTGAAATTGGTTTCTTGATATTAATTTCTCTGCCGATGGGAACATTTTCTTTTTATTTGCTTTAGATAGACCCCTTGAGACTTTGAATAAGTCTACAAAATCTCCTGTCATGCTTCTCTTTTCTGAGGAAAACAGCCCCTTTTCCAATTCCATGCAGATCATACTCCATCAGACATTAGTGACTTTAGAATATTGACATATAAAAGTCACTGTAACACATTGTGGTATAATGTATAGTTACTTAAGAAATCTCAAAACTGATAAATAGAATTCAATAGAACATAGAACAGTACTGCATAGTACAGGCCCTTCAGGCCACAATGTTGTGCTGACCTATTATCCTACTCTAAGATCAAACTACCCTGCGTACCCTAAATTTTACTATCATACTATCATATCAATACAAGTGCATGTGAACTTTCAGAAAGTGTCTCACAAGTTGTCTCACAACAGGAGCCTCACAAATGCAGCAATGTCAAAATTCAGGTAGGAGGCGAAATGTCGCATGGCTAGAAAACTGGTTTATGGACAGAAGCTGATTTTACTCAGATTAAAGAAAGACTGCAATTGTCTGTCCCAGGCAATACTGTTTAGTCCTTTGTTGGCTTTGATATGTATCAATGACTTGTGTTTTGGTCTTGACAAAATTCACTGATGATACAAAATTGGGGATCTTGACACACAGAAATGCAGATTGCTTAAAAACTTCAGGTAGATGTAATCAGATTGCAATAATTGACAAAATGCAGATCCAATTCAATTTGAAGAAATATAACTTTTAATATGTTATATGAAGAAAAGTCAAATGAACAATTACATAGTGAAGCGAAACACTCAATAAATAGACAGTGACATAGGATTGATTTAATTTGATTTGATTTGATTGTAATTACGTGTACCTAAGTATAGTGAAAAGCTTTGTTTGTGAGTAGTACAGGCAGGTCATAGCAAGCAAGGACATACAGATCATTGGGTGCTTAGACAGAGTGAGGCATGCAGGTTACACCGCACAGAAGGTAGGCAAAGCAAAATCAATAGTAACAAGGTCAGAATTATTTGACATAAGACAGTCCATTCATCAGTCTAATAACAGCAGTGAAGAAGCAGTTCTTGAACCAGCTGGTGCATGTGTTCAAGCTTCTATATCTTCTGCCTGACCGAAGATGTTGCAGGAGAACATTACTGGAGTGGGAGGGGTCTTTGATGATGTTGGCAGCCTTTCCGTGGAAACAAGAAGTATAAATGGAATCCATGGAAGGTAGGTTGGCTTCCATGGTAGTCTGGGCTATGCACACAACCTTCTGTAGTTCCTTAGGGTCCTGGGCAGAGCAGTTGCCATACCAGGCTGTTAAGCACCTGGGTGGAATGCTTTCAATACTGCATCTGTAGAAATTGGTGAGAGCCCTTATGGACATGCCAAATTTTCTGAGCTGCCTGAGGAAGAAGAGGCATTGTTGTGCCTTCTTGACCGTCTCATCATGGGAAGTCCAGGACAGGTTGTCAGTTATCGTCACTCCTAGGAACTTGACACTTTCAACCCTCTCAACTTCCGTTGATATAGATAGGGGCGTGTTCTCCTCCGTTCTTCCTGAAGTCAATGATCAGTTCTTTTGTTTCGCCGACATGAGAGAGAGGTTGTTATCATTGCACCAAGTCATCAAGCCCTCTATCTCTTTTCTGTACTCTGACTCATTGTTTGATATCTGTCCTACCGCTGTGACGTCGTCAGCAAACTTGTAAATGGTGTTTGTTTGAAATTTGGCAATACAGTAGTGGGAGTACTGTAGGGGCATGAGGACACATCCTTAGGGGGCTCCAGTGTTGAGGGTTATCATGGAGGAGGTGCAGTTGTCTATCTTCACTGACTGTGGCCTGTGGTTCAGGAGGCTGAGGAACCAGTTGCAGAGGGCAGAGCCAAGGCCTAGGTCACAGAGTTTTGAGATCAGTCTGGATGGGATTATGGTGTTGAAGGCGGAGCTGTAGTCGATGAGTAGGAGTCTGACGTAGGTGTACATGTTGTCCAGATGTTCCAGGGATGAGTAGAGGGTTAGGGAAATAGTATCTGCTGTGGACCTGTTACGTCAGTAGGCAAATTGCAGTGGATCAAGGCAGGCTGGGAGGCTAGAGTTGATGTGGACCATGACCAATTTCTCAAAGCTGTTCATGATTATGGAGGTCAAAGCCACTAAGGCATTAAGGCATATTGCATATGCTTTTTGGGTTCACATATGTCATTCTGAAATATGCAAATCCAGGAAAATGAAAGAATAGTAATGCTTATATTCTATAAATAGAGGCAAAAAGTACAAGTTTAAAGCAGTTATAGTAAATCTAGGTAATTGTTAAAGCAGTCTACATGGTATTCTATGGAGATTTTGAACACTCGAACATAGAATGTTTTCTTAAATCCGTGAAGAACATATATCACAGATTTGCCAGAATGCCCCAGGGGATAAGAATGCTTTATCAAAAGGCATGAAATAATGACACAAAACATCCTGAGAATTTGCATGACACTGTAGGGACCCACAAATGGTACAAAGGAATGGCAATATGAAGTAGTTTACTGACACCAATAATTGTCACTCCATAGTTTTGCAGTACTGTACATAAACAATTAGAAGGTAATTATGCCATATGCACTATTCAATTTATTCGACAATTTACCAGAATGTATATAACTCAGCTTCCGGTTACCTGCAGTGCTCAACTTCACCAGACACGAAGACAATAAACATATCTTTTTAACAATCCAAGCATATATGTTCTAATATCTCTACTTTGCTCATTGTTTCAATCAATTAAGTAAACCAATGACACACAAACTTGGAAAACATTTTAAACCACTGACTCAGAGAAATGTTAACATGATATTATGTAAATTTTAAATTTACTCTAAGCTTATGTAACGTTAACATCAGCTAACTCATTTTACACCCTCACTGACCATAAAAATAAAAATTAACAATTATATTCTTCCTGAATTTTCAATAATCTTGTGACTTGGATTCCAATCAATTTATTTTCTGGACTTGTTTGAATTACAATTTTCCATAATGGAAAAAAGGTGGCAGAGTAATAAATTCAGTAATTTTATGTATTTTAGAAATCATCAGATTTGCTAAACACCAGTTTAAAAAGTTGTTATCAATTGTATGGGTGTACTGTTAGGGCCTGTCTTCTGTGTGAATTAGAAATTCTGTCACTGACAGCAAAATGAAATATTGTCCTGTGTCTGCATGAATATAGAATAACAATTCAATAGCTTTTCTTCTGAATAGTTGTTTTTGACTTGAAATATTAACTCTGTTTTTCTCTTTATATAGATGCTAAGTATTTCCAGAACTTTGTTTTTAGTTTTCAACATTGACAGTATTTTTCTTTTTTTCGAGAAATGAAACGTTACATTTCAAAAATACCTTCTTAGAAGATCAACATAAAAGACACCTTAAAACTATTTTTATAAAATAAAAATCTTGTAGTCAGCTGTGGCTTAGTGAGTACAAATCTTCTCTTCCAAGATGTTCTGGTTTCAAGTTCTACTGAGAGTCACAGAGTTATACGGCATGGATACAGACCATTCAGTTCAACTCGTCCATGCCGACCAGATATCCTAAACTGATCCAGTGCCATTTGCCAGCATTTGACCTATATCTCTCTAAACTCTTGTGGTCCATGTACCCATTCAGATGCCTTTCAAATTTTATAGTTGGACCAGCCTCCACCACTTCCTCTGGCAGCTTGTTCCATCCACGCATCACCTACTGCATCAAATGTTGACTCTCAGGTCCCTTTTAAATCTTTCCCCTCTCACCTTAAACATATGCCATCTACTTTTGGACTCCCCCACCCTGAGGAAAAGACATTGGCTATTCACCCCATCCATGCTTTTCATGACGCTCTAGGAAAAAAAAGCCCCAGCTTATTCAGCCTTTCCCTACAGCTCAATGCTCCAATCTCGGCAGCATCCTTGTAAATCATCCCTGAAGTCTTTCAAATTTAACAACATATTTCCTATTGAAGGGTGACCAGAAATAAATGCAGTATTCTGAAAGTTGCTTAACCAATGTCTTGTACAGCTGCAACATGATATCCCAACTCTTAAACTCAGTGCATTGACCAATGAAGGCAAGCATTCCTTCTTCACCACTCTGTCTGCCTGCGACTCCACTTTCAAGGAACTATGCACCTGCATCTATCGGCCTCTTTATTCGGCAACACTCCCCAGAGCCCTACCATTTAATGGTAGACGTCCTGCTCTGATTTGCTTTACCAAAATGCAACACCTCAGATTTATCTAAATTAAATTCCAACTGCCACTCCATGGCCCATTGGCCAATCTGATCAAGGTCCTACTGTACTCTGAGATAACCTTCTTCACTGTCCATTGTGCCACCTATTTTGGTGTCATCTGCAAACTTATTAACCATACCTCCTATATTCACAGTTGAATCATTTATATAAATGATGAAAAGCAGTGGATCATGACCTGATCCTTGCAGCACACCGCTGGTCAAAGGCCTTCAGTCTGAAAAACAACCCTCCACCCTCTGTCTCCTATCTTCAAGCCAATTGGCTGGCTCCCCCCGGATTCCAAGTGATCTAATCTTGCTAGCCAGTCTACAATGTGGAACCTCGTCGAATGCCTTGCTAAATTCCACACAGATAATGTCTTGATTGATTCATTTTATTGTCTCGTGTACCAAAATACCACCCTACCTTCATCAATCTTCTTCGTCACTTCTTCAAAAAACTGAATCAAGTTAATGATAAATGATTTCTCATGCACAAAGCCATGTTGATTCTCCTAATCAGTCCTTGCTTCACCAAATGCATGCAAATCCTGTCTCTCAGAATCCTTCCAACAACTTACCCACTATTGACGTCAGGCTCACCAGTCTATAGTTCCTGGCTTCTTTACTGCCTTTTGTAATTTATGGCACTACAGTAGTCAACCTCTAGTCTTCCAGCACCTCACCTGTGGCTATCAATGATACGAATATCTCAGCCAGGGACCCAGCATTCTCTTTCCTTGCTTCCCATAAATTTCTGGATACATCTGATCAGCTCCTGGGGATTTATCCACCTTTATGTGTTTTAAGACATCCAGCATCTCCTTTTCTGTAATATGGGCACTTTTCAAGATATCATTATTTATTTCCCCAAGTTCCCTAGCTTCCATATCCTTCTCCACAGTAAATATTGACGTGAAATACTTGTGTTGCATTGTACCCATCTCCTGTGGTTCCACATATAAATGGCCTTGTTGATCTTTTAAAGGACCTTGTTTTCTCTCCTAGTGACTCTTTTTTCCTCAATGTATTTGTAAAATCTCCTTGGATTCTCCTTAACCTTATTTGCCAATGCTATCTCATGTAACCTTTTTGCCCTCCGGACTTCCCTCCTAAGTATACTTCTACTGCCCTTAAACTCCTCTAGGGATTCACTTGATCCCAGATGTCTATACCTGATATATGCCTCCTTCTTTTCTTGATCAGAGCCTCATTTTCTCTAGTTATCTAGCATTCCTAAAACCTACTAGCCTTGCCCTTTGCACTAACAGGATCATACAGTCTCTGAACTCTCATAATCTCATTTTTAAAGGCCTCCCATTTTCCAACCATTCTTTTACCACCAAATAGTCTCTTCCCATCAACTTTTGAAAGTTTCTGCCTAATACTAACAAAGTTGGCCTTATTCCGATTTAGAACTTGAACCTTTTGATCAGGTCTATTGTTTTACATAACTATTTTAAAACTAATAGAATTATGATCACTGACTCCAATGTGCTCCCGCACTGACACCTCAGTCACTTGCCCTGTCTTGTTTCCCAAGAGAAGGTCGAGTTTTGCTCCTTCTTTAATAGGTACTTGCACATATTGAGTAAGAAAGTTTTCTTTAACACACTTAATAAATGCCTCTCCATCAAAGCCCTTAACACTATGGCAATCCTAGTCTACGAAAAGTTAAAAATCCCCTACCATTACAACCCTATTAATCTTACAGATATGTGAGATCTCCTTACATATATGCTTCTCAATTTCCACTGACTACTGGGCGTGTCTATAGTACAAACCCAATAAGGTATTCATCCCTTTCCTATTTTTAAGTTCCACCTATATAACTTCACTGGACGTTCTCCCAGGAATATCCACCCTAAATTCAGCTGTAGTGTTATCCTTAACCAAAAACACCACTCCGCTCTTCTCTTGCCCCCTTTCTATCCTTCCGATACTATCTTTTTTTGAATACAAAGATCAACATTTAAACTCCAGTGTAATACTGAGAGTGTTGCATTGCCAGAGGTATTTATCTTTCAGCTGAGATGTAAGGCTCCAGTCCTGAAGAAGGGTAAGACCCAAAACGCTGACTGCTCCTTTCCTCCAGATGCTGCCTGGCCTGCTGTGTTCTTCCAGCCTCCTGTTTGTCTACCTTGGATTCCAGCATCTACAGTTTTTTTTAATCTCCATTTGATTATAATTGGGCGCAGTAAAAAAAATCGAAAGACACTTTTTCTCTAAAGAGCAGTGTAGTTTTCCATAGCGTCCTCGACATTATATATCCCTTACTCAACATCACAAAAGAAATTATCTTTTCTAAATTAAATTTGCAAATTATCTTGAATTTCTAGAATGTCTTGTCATTATATCACACCACTCTTTGTGAGAATTTGGAGTGTGCAAATTAGTTTCCTGGTTTCCTACATTACAACAATGACTAGAAGTTGAAAATAATTCATTGGCCATAAGACAGTTTAAGGCATCTGGTGATTGTGGAAGTTTGTTTTCTTCAGTTTTTTTTAAGAGTTCTTCATCAAAATGTACTAATTGGGATAATAGGCTGTGTCATTGCACCTCGTAAAATAAAACAGAAAATGCTGCAGAAACTTAGTAGGTCTTCAGGTTTCGAAGAAGAGCCATAATGGACTCAAAACGTTTCTCTCTCTACAGATGCTGCGAGACCTGCTTGGTTTCTCCAGCAATTTCTGGTTTTAGTTCAGATCTTCAGCATCTGCAGCATTTTGCTATTAGTTTAGTATGTTATTGCCCGATGCTCTTTACTATCTTCCTCAATGCAATACACTCTTACATATATTTAAAGTTCTTTGAGAAGATTTGTAGCTCAGGTTGTGGATGAGGTTGTAGACTTGCTCCCTGAGCCGGTGTATTTGGTTGCCTCCAGTGAAGTGCACTGATGATGTTACCAAGCAGGGTGACTAAATGTCTGCAATCAAACACACCATATCCATAAAGCTTCCATTGGAGTGGAACATGTCTGCAGAATAAGCAGGAAATTGTTCAAGCTCCATCACCTCCAGTTCGAAAGCAAATTAACTTCTGTCATCAAGCTTTGGTACGCAGACGATGCTTGTGGGTACAAATGTTCACAGGCAGATCCCTAAATAATTACTGATATATTCATGGAGGTGGATGAGAGAACAGGGTTTAGGCTAAACATTTGGAAGCTTTTTCCCACTGCGCAACACTGTCCCAGATTAATAAGATCTATGGTGAACTATTAGACAATCTAGATCAATTGTCATTCCTTGGAAGACCTCTTTCAGCGAAGGAAAACACCATCAATGAAATTTATTATCACCACCATTGCGCTAAAGCAGCTCTTGGCCACTTGAGGAACAGAGTGTTTGATGGCAAAGACCTCAAACCTGGCAGCAAGCTCATTGTCTATAGGGCAGTAGTGTCCTCTGCCCTTCTGTATGTGTGAGAGACATAGACATTGTACAGCAGAAATCTCAACTCTAGAGAAATATGACCAACAATGTTTCCACAAAGTCTTGCAAATTTATTGGCAGGATAAGGCTCTTGGAAATTAGTGTCTTCTCTCAGGCCAACAGCCTTGAAGCACCAGTTACTGACAATCAGCTGTGTTAGTCGGGCCATATTATCTACATGCCTGACAGAAGACTTCTAAAACAATCTCTCTACTCTGAACTTTGTTGGCAAGCAGTTTGCAAGAAGGCAGAGCGAATGCTTCAAGGACATCTTCAAAATTACCCTGAGAAAATGCAGACTCGTGTGAATTTAGAGTCATAGGGCCATAGAGGTGTACAGAATGGAACAGACTCTTTAGTCCAACTCGTCCATGCCGACCGGATATCCTAAATTAATCAAGTCCCATTTGGCAACATTTGGCCCATATCCCTCTACACCATTCCAATTCGTATACTCATCCAGATACCTTCTAAATATTGTCATTGTACCAGCCTCCACCACTTCCTCTGGCAGCTCATTCCATACATGCACCACACCCTGTGTGAAAAAGTTGCCCTTCAGTTCCCTTTTAAATCTTTCCCCTCTCACCTTAACCCGCTGATTTTGGACTCCGCTACACCGGGAAAAAGACCTTAGCTATTCACCCTATCCATGCCTCTCACGATTTTAAAAATTCTATAAAGTCACCCCTCAGCCTCCAATGCTCCAGGGAAAACAGCTCCACCCTATTTAGCCTCTCCTATAGCTCAAACCCACCAACCCTGGTAACATTCTTGTAAATCTTTTCTGAAACCTTTCAAGTTTCACAACGTCCTTCCTATTGCAGGGAGACCAGAATTGAACAGTGTTCCAAAAGTGGTTTAACCATTGTCCTGCACAGTGCAACATGGCCTCCTAACACCTAAACTCAACGCACTGACCAATAAAGGCAAGCATACCAAACACCTTCTTCACTATCCTGTCTACCTGCGGCTCCACTTTCAAGGAACTATGAACCAGCACCCAAGGTCTCTTTGTTCAGCAACACTCCTCAGGACCTTACCATTAAGTGTTTAAGTCCTGCCCTTCAAAAATGCAGCACCTCACATTTATCTAGAACAAAGAAAATTACAGCACAGGAACAGGCCTTTCGGCCCTCCAAGCCTGCGCCGATCCAGATCCTCTAAATAAACCTGTCACCTATTTTCCAAGGATCTGTATCCCTCTGCTCCCTGCCCATTCATGTATCTGTCTAGATACATCTTAAATGACGCTATCATGCCCACCTCTAACATCTCCGCTGGCAACGCGTTCCAGGCACCCACCACCCTCTGCATAAAGAACTTTCCACACATATCTCCCTTAAACTTTTCCCCTCTCACCTTGAAATCGTGACCCCTGGTAACTGAGTCCCCCACTCTGGGAAAAAGCTTCTTGCTATCCACCCTGTCTATACCTCTCATGGTTTTGTAGACCTCAATCAGGTCCCCCCTCAACCTCCATCTTTCTTATGTAAATAATCCTAAGCTACTCAGCCTCACTTCATAGCTAGCGCCCTCCATAACAGGCAACATCCTGGTGAACTTCCTCTGCACCCTCTCCAAAGCGTCCACATCCTTTTGGTAATGTGGCGACCAGAACTGTACGCAGTATTCCAAATGTGGTCAAACCAAAGTCCTGTACAACTGTAACATGACCTGCCAACTCTTGTACTCAGTACCCCATCCGATGAATGAAAGCATGCCGTATGTCTTCTTGACCACTCCATCGACCTGCGTTGCCACCTTCAGGGTACAATGGACCTGAACATCCAGATCTCTCTATATATCAATTTTCCCCAGGGCTTTTCCATTTACTGTATAGTTTGCTCTTGAAGTGGATCTTCCAAAATGCATCAAAATGCATCTAAATTAAACTCCATCTGCCACTCCTCGGCCCATTGGTGCATCTGATCAAGGTCCTGTTGTACTTTGAGGTCATCTTCTTCACTGTTCACTACACCATAAATTTTGGTGTGATCTGCAAACTTCCTAAGCATATCTCCTATGTTCACATCCAAATAATTTATATATGACAAAAAGAGCAGACCAAGCACTGATCCTTGTGGTCTCAGGCCTCCAGTATGAAAAGCAACCCTCCACCACCAGCCCCTCTGTCTCCTTCCTTCCAGATTTTCTTACCCAAGACTCAAGAAACTGGAGAAAGAGCATCCACAAGGTTACCAACCATCTTGAGCCTCTCTCACAGGCACAGGTGGAGGTCAAGCATGAACAATGGGAGGCATGTATGAAAATCTGAGTATTCCACCAACCTGCCCATCTGCAGTAAGCTGTGTGGATCCAGCAATTGACTGTTTAGACACCTCAGCACTCACAACACTGGAGTGGAATCATCTTTGGTCTGAGGGGACTAAAACCTGCCCAATTTTAACCAGATCACAGGGCTTAACCTAGGGCCACCATACCTGAGGCAAGGGGAAGAGATTAAGAATCCTTCATGGTAACCTAACGCAGTGTGGGAATTAAACCCAATCATCCAGCACCACAATCAGCCATGCAGCCAACTGAACTAAACCTGTCCCCTCCGCCAGTAGACAGGTATACATTGCTCAGAGGTGGGGTCCAATGGAAAGGAGTAGGAACTACAATACCCAGCAGGCATTAGGTCCAGGCAAGCGCACGCGCAGTCCTCGGTGTGCGTAAGGGGAAACGGTGGCCGCGAGGGGATCAGCGCGTTTTCGATACGGGGTGGGGAAGGCGGGGAGGAGGGAAAATGTGCGGCTGTGACTGACGAACAAATGAAGCTGAGGCGGCGGTGTGGGTTTTTCACCAGTCAGTGTGAATCTGAGCGCCGTGTCCGGGGAGGGAGGAAGAATTTAAATTAAAATAAAAAGAGGCGAACGGAGAGGCAGAGCGGGGTACGGCACGACGCCCGTCAGGATAGGCGCAGGAGATGGACGGTTTCGCCGGCAGTTTGGGTGAGTTATTAAAAACATTTTTTTTTTAAAAAAGAGGAAAACGCAGCCCGCAGAGGATAGGATGAGATTTTAAAAAAAACCGCTGGTGGAGGGGAAATGGGAAGATTTAAATCGAGAAAAAGGGAGAAATGTCTTCTGTCGGGTTCCGTGCTGTGTGTGTGTGAGTGAAGGGATTTCTTTAAAAAAAAGACAAAATTGGAATCCCGGGGTTCTCCTGTGAACTTTTGTGTATTTCTTTCTGTAAAAGTGTCAAGTGTTTTTTTTGTTGTTGGGAGTTAGCGGGGTTCGGGATTACAGGAGCTGACAGTGGCTCACAGCGCTGCTTTGACATGGCCTGAGTCGGGGAGGGAGGGAGGGAGGGGGTGCTATTTACTGGGAAAGCCGGGCGCTCGCGCTCTCTCTTTCTGTCTCTTCCCCCAGCGCTGTCTTTTCAGGAGGATGCTGCTTTCTGACCTGGTGTTTTTAAATCTTCTCTTCGGTTTTTTTTCAATTTCCCCTTGCGGCCGGTTGTGGATTTTGCGGCGGCGCCGCAACTCGAGAACCAGGTCCGAGCGGCTCCGCATCGGCGGGCACCCCGCCTCCGAGGTCCTAGCGCTCACCGCACGGGCAACAATCTCTTACCTTCACCCAACTCTCTCTTCCCCCCCCTACACACCTCCTTACATTGACACCTCCTTACATTGACACCTCCTTACATTGACACCTCCTTACATT